AGGTCAGTGTTTGAATAGCAGAGGAGCCGAATAGTAGTAAACATGTCCACACTAGCTTATATAGCTGTTCAACTTTAATAGGCCAGGTTCACACAGTGCCGATTATGGCTCCCGTTTAAGATCAGACAGCGATACGACACGACGAGTGAAAAAGTCGGATTACTATCCTCAATGATCTGGAATGTCCTATCATTGTCTGAACGCAGTCGTATACGTTCGTAACAGAGTCCTACGGATCGGGAAAGGTACAGAGGGGTCGGCCAAGCACTCCCGAAAGTATGGTGTGTCCCGTGGCATTCGGGAAACTCTAGTCGGATTACAATCGTGACTGTGTCGGGACAGATTCTGCTGTATCAGATCAAAATTGTAACAAGGTCCTGTGTTTCAGGACGGTGTCCTGTGGATCGGGATGCTGTCGTGATGAACGGGCATGAATTGTTCATTGCCGTTTCTTGTCGATTGAGTCCAGATTGCGTCCAGATCTTGCCGAATGTGAACTGTCTTTGTCGGTTCACTGTCCGGGCACTGTCTGATCTCTGTCTGACTGCATTCGGGAGAATCGGGACGCTGTCGGGACAGATTCGGTCTTACCATGCAGAAGATGCAAATCGGATCAGATTCGGATTGAGAACGGGAGAATCGGGACGAATTCGGCTGGAAACGGCTGAATTGGGACGCTTCCTGAACAATATCTGATTGTTTGTGAATTTCCCGCCACGAAACAGAGGATCTTGATCAGACTTTAGACAAATTTTAATCGGGAATGGTCCTGTCAAGGACGGCAGTAAACATCCTGAATGTGTGACTGAGCCCTTACACTGGAATCTAAGGGGCGTGGGGTACCGGTATGGTGAAAGCTTCACTCGTAAGACCGGGGGCCGCCGTTATATAGCTGGAATATTGCTGAGTGCGGCGTTAAACAACAAAACAAACAAAACGTAAGACCGGGACATGAATTCATCGAGTTATATGCTCACTGTTGCCAGATTTATTAACAGCCATACCGTGTATTGATGACCGAGTGACATCTTGCCGGTGAACGGCTGATCTGACGAACAGAAACCATGGTTTCCCTTGGTAACCGTATGTCGTTATGTTTATATCGCCCGTTAGACTCGCGGTACCCTCACCAATGTTATATTGTGACCTACACACATTGTACCCATGTGGGAATCGAACCCGGGTCTTCGGCGTGACGAGCGAACCCATTAGCCACTAGGCTACCCCGCCGCCCTTGCTTGAGTTGATGTAACTATTATAGGATCATATGCTTAAGAATAACAAGAATAAACACCCATATTATTGTTTCAGAAACGCGATACTTCATCTCGGAACACAACATAAAACGCAAGCACCAGATCCATCAGAAGATGACAAATATGACCAGCATTTCATACATTACTAGCAAGTGCTAACTGATCATTTTTTATAAGTGTTGGCCAAGGAGTCATATGCTATTTCCAATATAAACATACAGAATATTTAGAAATGCAGAACGCTATCTGAACTCGCCTCCGTTTAAGCGGTGAATTAGTGAGTGAGTGAGTAAGGTTTTACGCCGTCTTATCACTATTCCAGCAACATCACGGCGAGGAACACAAGAAATAGGCTTCACAAGTTGTATCTATCGAACCCAGGCCTTCAGCTTGACAAGCGAGCGCTTTAACCACTAGGCTTCCCTACCACCCCTATTTAACGTCGAATTCCCTTTATTCTGTAAACAATAAACTCAGCAAAATTCAATATTGCTGTAGATAAATATGCTTACTTTAGAAAAATAAGCATAACGTTGTATACAGTTAAAGCACACCAATGTATAATCACCGAGGCTGTCATCCAAACTCAACATATTATCTTCATCTTTCCGTCTAACGTTTCATGTTTCATGTATGAAATGGTTCTGTGTGATTAATGATGACGTTTTCTGTCGCGTCCAAGATTATTGCACTTAGCGACGTGCGTGTGTGTGTGTGTGTGTGTGTGTGTGTGTGTGTGTGTGTGTGTGTGTGTGTGTGTGTGTGTGTGTGTGTGTGTGTGTGTGTGTGTGTATGTGTGTGTGTGTGTGTGTGTGTGTGTGTGTGCCTGTACTAGTCCGGACTGATGCCGATTTATAGTCCTAGCTCACTCAGATACCATGCTGCAGTTTAACATGAATACCCCACCCCAGTCAGTATACTGACTCCGAGCCGACCAGTCCTTGTTTTAGCCCCGATATGCCGAGCGCCAGACAGGGTAACAACAAGTACCATCTTTTAACGTCTTTTGGTATGACGTAGTCGGGGATCGAACCCCGAACCTTCCGCTCTCCGGGCGGACGCTCTACCACTAGACCACGGAGGCGGTCTTCTGTAATAGAAACCAAACCCCGCGGGCATCAGGTTCTCAAAACAAGAGCCAACGGAAAACCTGGCCAAGTACTGGAGAATTAGTTATAATTAGATGAAGATATATGTTTTATATGTTATCGCGGGGAGGGTGCCCGCGTTGACCTGACCCCCACGGTTTGGTGGAGAGGTGGTACACTCATTAGGTGAATACGCGCAGAGCACTCATAGCACTCGTCAACAGTTAACCTTATCAGTGTAACTTATACTGCGAACTTAAAGGGGAAGTGTACACGCAAAAATCACTTTCTTTCTTTTTCTAAACAAAACGCAATTTTAGAATTAGTTAGTATCTGTGTTTGAAAATATACACTCATTTTTTCTCACAGTGAAAGTAGGAAGCTCACAATAGTGTTAAAATGATATGCCGTTATGAGGCCTTCGTTTTACGAGCAAAATAGGCCTGAGTTATCCCCCTTAGATTATGACGTAATTGGTGCTAATTCAACTGGGTCCCTGTCTATTCTCAACGCAAAAGATATCAAGGACCAGTTTTTATGTAAAACAACATGGTCTACGACACACTCCGGCGCAGTGGTGACTCAGTATAACACAATTCTGGCTGGCATCTGAGACGCTAAAATCACAAAACTGTACCTACACCACGTGAAGCGGCTCTAACAAAGCATGATGACGTCATAATGTTTATCAAATGGCACCAATGACGTCATATTGCAAGGGGCATAAGCCATGGTGTTTTTGTTATGGAAATAGAACACTTAGTAAATGTGAAAAATATAAATCGTTTTAATGCAAAAAATATGTTAATTAAATATGATGTTTTTATATTTTTGTCTATGACACTTCTATGTTAACACTTTTAATGTGGAAAAAGTACAAGAAAAATTGGTTCATTTCCGTGTGAACTTGCCCTTAAAGAACACAGCCCACGAGCTACGAACAATTACAGACTATCTGCCCCGATTGGATTAATTGTGTAGTTCCTTACCCAAGCGGATTACTTTCAACATGAAGTCACGATGAACAGATAATTCGTATTTCTGTTGAAATAAGCTTATTCGTTATATTATGCATATTACATGTTTCGTCTTAGAATATACAAACAAAATGTTAGTTAGACATCAGCTTGGTGACCTTTGTTGGAACGACGTCACAAAGTCGTTTGTGACGTCATAAACAATGGATGATGTCATATGACGTCACGTTGCAGTAGGACTCTTCGCAAACAATAAAAAACAGCGGAGCACATAGAACGAAGTAGCCAATCAACATGAAGCAAAAATAATAATGATCAGTATATATGTGAGGCAAGTGGTACTAAAATACAGATTTGAATTGTTCTAGTTTTCCATGAAGACCCTGCATATGTACACACTGACCTATATCTTACCTTACACGTGAATGTCGGATTCTGATTGGCTGAGACCCATTCTATTATTTTCAATGTACCACGTAAGGTACATTTCTCGTGTTATCCGCTCGAATTGCCGAACTGTGCGCATCACATGCATTTGCAACATACCAACCTCAATTAATCTCGAATTAATTATGTAAGACGTCATTTTCCGGATATTAACGATATTTTCCAAATCAAACAGGGGGAATATCTATATATAAGTTTGTTTTCTTTCGCTTGCTATTTTATCGAACTGGATAAATGCCTAACTGTGGAATTCTGCTAGAACTGTGAAGGGGATGAGAATGGGGTGGATTGCTTTTTTTGCCCCCATTTCACTACGACCACGAATATCCCGAATCGTCCCGAATGGGAAATTTTTCATGTTCGTAGATAAATCTCAAACATTTCTTGAAGTTCTCAAATGAATCTTATTTGATTCCCAAACATTCGTACAGTTCGCGGGAGTTCGTAGAATCGGCGAGACAGTTTTTGTTTGTCAAAAACTTTCGTGGAAGGGTCCCCGACTTGTAATTTCGTGACTGCGTCGTATACCACTCGTTATTAATTCTTATGTCCCGTAACAGCTTCGTAATCGATTCTTTTGCATTCTTGGCTATTCTTAGAGATTCGTGGCTCCCAAAATTTCTTGTTCACAACCCGAAAACATCCCGAAACAGCCACGAATGTCCCGAGTCAACGACGAATCATGTAAGAGTTAAGTAAGAACAACACGATTCCCCAAGGACCCGGACCAGAGCAACACGTGCTCTCCGTTGAGCCTCCATGGTAGAAATGATGGGTTGGCCAGCCTTTCAGGACCCAAGAACATGCCGAAGTGTCAGGAAAAGTACTGATTTTCGCAAACTACTCGTAAATATGTCGTATTAGTCGTATCTTATTCGTTGCGATCGTCCTGCATTCGTACATGCATTCGGCATATTCGTAACTTAGTCGTAGGTGATTCTTACTATTCGTGCATGATCCGTACAGGAATCTTGTAATTCGTACATGTTTCTTAACCAATTCCTGGCATCCTTCATATTTTTCAACCCGATCAGACCGAGTTTTCGTAACTCCGTCGTACGTTTGTCGTAACTGCTTCGTACCTCCTACCGATTCTCCACGAGAGTTTGAATTATTGGCCGAATCATCACGAATTTCGAATGTTTCCGATTCTGGGTGATTCGGGATGTTCGTGGTCGTAGTGAAATGGGGCCATATATAAGAGAGACGTAGTGTTCTACGTTAGCACCTACCAGCGGCCTCTTCCACACGATCTTGCCGAACTTCCGGGAGGCCCTGCCGTTCTTGTATAGCGACTTCTCGTTCGGGGGAAACTCCGGGTCAACGAAGTAGGACCGAGCCCGTACCAGGTCGTCCCGAATCTCGGTGAAGGTCCTCTTCTGGGACATCCTGCTCCTCCTCACTCACACCTGGCACAGAGAAACACAGTCGGGGAGGTTTAATGAAGAGGGCATACTCAATACTAATGATAAATATAATCACGATAATTATGACAATTATAAACATCGCCCTGTATAAAATAATTATTTCTAAAATAAATATTTATTTATTTATTTATTTATTTATTTATTTATTTATTTATTAATTAATTAATTAATTAATTAATTAATTAATATATTTATTTATTTATTTATTTATTTATCTATTTATTTATTTATTCATTTATCCAACACTGTAACAACTATATATCAGCCTCATACAGAGTGAAATGGGCCTCTAACACACAAACCAGGGGTCGAAAGAGTGAGCGTCGAATGACGTCAGGGAATAATAGTCAACAAAAGAAGATAGGTCACGGGTGCTGTTGCATGTATATACTCAACAGTGGCCCCCCTTTCCCATTGTGCCTACCTTAATGAAAGCATAAAACACACAGTGTTCCGCACCAGAGCTCCCACACAGTACAACTCCGCGCACCCGCTGTAGAAACACTTGTGTGCATGCTGATATAGAACTCAGTTTTACTTGTTTCAAAATGAGACTCCCTGACAATGAACGAGGCAGTCGTAACTAAGACTCGCTCTTATCGCACGAATACAGGACGATAAAGCTGAGGACAACATAATGTGTTATCTTGACGGGGACAGTCAAGTCCTTGTTCGTACAGCCTGCATGGCACGGCGGGGCAACTCGACTACACAAAAACACAGTGACATGCTGTGGTCGAGGAGGCTGGAACATGATGGTTGGTTGGTTGGTTTGTTGTTTTACGCCACACTCAGCAATATTCCAATTATATGACAGCGGTCTGTAAATAATCGAGTCTGGACCAGACAATCCAGTGATTGACATCATGAGCATCGATCCACGCAATTGTAACCACGGACTGCGTGATGGTAATATTTAATATATACTAGTTGTGACACTGTAACCACGGACTGCGTGATGGTAATATTTGATATACACTACTGTAACCACGGACTGAGTGATGGTAATATTTGATACACACTAGTTGTGACTCTGTACCCATGGACTGTGTGATGGTAATATTTGATACACACTAGTTGTGGCACTGTATCCACGGACTGTGTAATGGGAATATTTGATATACACTAGTTTTGACACTGTGGCCACGGACTGTGTGTTTGGTAATATTTGATATAAACTGGTTGTATCACTGCAACCACGGACTGTGTGAGGGTAATATTTGATATACACTAGTTGTTGTGACCTGGTAACCACAGACTGTGTGATGGTAATATTTGATATCCACTACTGTATCCACGGACTGTGCGATGGTAATATTTGATAGACACTAGTTGTGACACTGTAACCACGGACTGCGTGATGGTAATATTTGATAGACACTAGTTGTGACTCTGTAACCACGGACTGCGTGATGGTAATATTTGATAGACACTAGTTGTGACACTGTAACCACGGACTGCGTGATGGTAATATTTGATAGACACTAGTTGTGACTCTGTAACCACGGACTGCGTGATGGTAATATTTGATAGACACTAGTTGTGACTCTGTAACCACGGACTGCGTGATGGTAATATTTGATAGACACTAGTTGTGACTCTGTAACCACGGACTGCGTGATGGTAATATTTGATAGACACTAGTTGTGACACTGTAACCACGGACTGCGTGATGGTAATATTTGATATACACTAGTTGTGACACTGTAACCACGGACTGCGTGATGGTAATATTTGATATACACTAGTTCTGCAACTGTAACCACGGACTGTGTGATGGTAATATTTGATATACACTAGTTCTGCAACTGTAACCACGGACTGTGTGATGGTAATATTTGATATACACTAGTTGTGACACTTTAACCACGGACTGCGTGATGGTAATATTTGATATACACTAGTTCTGCAACTGTAACCACAGACTGTGTGATGGTAATATTTGATATACACTAGTTCTGCAACTGTAACCACGGACTGTGTGATGGTAATATTTGATATACACTAGTTCTGCAACTGTAACCACGGACTGCGTGATGGTAATATTTGATATACACTAGTTCTGCAACTGTAACCACGGACTGCGTGATGGTAATATTTGATATACACTTGTTGTGACTCTGTAACCACGGACTGTGTGATGGTAATATTTGATATACACTAGTTGTGACACTGTAACCACCGACTGCGTGATGGTAATATTTCATATACACTAGTTGTGACACTGTAACCACGGACTGTATGATGCTAATATTTGATATACACTAGTTTTGACACTGTGGCCACGGACTGTGTGTTTGGTAATATTTGATATACACTAGTTTTGACACTGTAACCACGGGCTGTGTGATGGGTATATTTCATATACACTACAGTAACCACGGACTGCGTGATGGTAATATTTGATTATTCACTGGTTGTGACACTGTAACCACGGACTGTGTGGTGGAAATAGTTTATATACACTAGTTGTGACACTGTAACCACGGACTGCGTGATGGTAATATTTGATATACACTAGTTGTGACACTGTAACCACGGACTGTGTGGTGGGAATAGTTTATATACACGAGTTGTGACACTGTACGTAACCACGGACTGTGTGGTGGGAATATTTGATATACACTAGTTGTGACACTGTAACCACGGACTGCGTGATGGTAATATTTGATATACACTAGTTGTGACACTGTAACCACGGACTGTGTGGTGGGAATAGTTTATATACACTAGTTGTGACACTGTACGTAACCATGGACTGTGTGGTGGTAATATTTGATATACACTAGTTGTGACACTGTAACCACGGACTTCGTGATGGTTATATTTGCTATACACTAGTTGTGACACTGTAACCACGGACTGTGTGGTGGGAATAGTTTATATACTATGCTCTGTGACAGGATACCACGAGCCAAGAACACAATAAACACGTGACACTACATTAGAGGCACATCCTATGTTCGTGACCTCGTTCAGTCGGCGTCATTATAAAGCTAGACAGGAGTGTGTTTGCTTGTTAGTGCCTGTCAGGGCGGGTGCTTTTGTACAGGTATAAACAACAATATTATAACGAAAAAACAGAAACTAGGTTCACGCGTACCCATGTAAGGAATCGAAACGGTGTGTTTAGCGTGACGAGCGAACACCTTGCCCCCTGTACTACCCCGACGGCAGTGTGTTATTGTCTATGTACGTGGTTCTACTGGTAACCGGGTGTTGTGTTGATGTTATTTATATTTGGTTTGTTATTTAAAGCAGCACTCAGCAATGTTCCAGCCGTATGAAGGCGGTCCGTAAATAATCAAATCTGGACCAGACAATCTTGTGATTGACAGGCATGTCCGGAGTAATTGTGTTTGAATAAATAAATACATATACAAATAAATGAATGAATGAATGAATGAATGAATGAATGAATGAATGAATGAATGAATGAAAAAAATAAATAAATATGACCTTCATACAAGATATACAATTAATCAACCTCGTTTATCCGGACACAGTTGGAACGTCTACATGAACAGGCGACATTACTCATTAATAATGTTAAGCAAATAAATATGCGCTAGACAACACGAGATACTGTCCAGATTATTGAGGTTGTAGTATACATGTACCAACACTCCCTCCTCCCTACCCACACACACACACACCCGTGCAGCCTACCTGTGTGTGTGTGTGTGTGTGTGAGAGAGAGAGTCTCTCTCTGTGTGTGTATGTGTGTGTGTGTGTGTGTGTGTGTGTGTGTGTGTGTGTGTGTGTGGACAGAAGCGAACACTAATCACACAGGTACTATGTGCCTGTAATTGTCGCTTTACGATCCTCACTAGACTTGCACAAGACAAACATTTTAGTTTAAATCATAATTTCTACATAATTTCTATGTAAATAATAAGAACACGTTGTCCCTATAAGAGAGTCCTTAGACTGTCCACATATCTAGACTTGCCTATTATAAGGATGGAATTACCATACACCCATGGAATTATTATTCAGTACAGCCTTGGAGCAAGGCTAGACCCTCGTGTGAATGTAAATCTATCTCATAGTTAATCATATTCTACATGATATACAAAGCTATCGGACCAAGGGCAACAGGTGCAGCTGTGTTGGATCCCGTCTCAAATAGATATTCATGGAAATGAAATTACAGACACACTGGCGAAGCTAGCTCTTGACAAAGCGGATATACAGCATATTCCCTTCAGTAATCTAGAGATAAAAAGCAAAATCAGCGCCTCCATAGCGCAAAGATGGCAAGCCATGTGCGACGCAAATAAGATCGGCAGATGGCTATACAAAATTCAACCCCAAATCCACAAAAAGCCATTCTCATACTAAAATGAGAGGAAAGTTGAAGTAGCCATCTCACGCCTCAGCCTAGGTCACAAAAAAGCACCATAACAACGTATGACCATGTTGCAATCAACCTGAATCCATTGGCTCACTTGTTGCTGGGATGTCAAGACCATGTCCCAGCCCGGGCTAGGTTAAAATAAGAAATGCAGTTATATCCGCTATGTGTCGTAGAGTTCCTGAATCCAAGAGATGCAATAGCGAAGACCAAACTAACTCTACTTCTGAGGGATGGCCATGGACAGCTACTCGGACGCATTGAAGAGAGCAGCAAAGATAAAAAATGAAATCATATCAATATATGAAAATAGAAATCTTATCAATACCAAAACACTGAAATTTAAAGAATACTAAAGTAACAAAAGCAGGTGTACCCAACTCACACACATGAATCCCAAAGAGGGTGAGTGTGAGTGAGTGAGTTGGGTTTAACGCCGCTTTTAACAGTATTACAGTTATATCGCGGCGTGTCAGCTTAATGTGGGAAGAAAGCCCCAAGTGATGCAGGTCTCAGGCGTTTACCACTTCGGTGAAACCCACGAGCACGGGAATGGTGCTGACAAACCTAGAAACATAATCGGGGCCAACCGGGATTCGAACCCACAATCATAGGTTTCTGGCAGCCCAAGGGACGCAACTCTGCACAGCAAATCGCGGCGCCTTAGACGACTGTGCCACCCGTGTGATGTTCTTTGAGGGGCCTGGGGTTTTGTGTCGAGATTAAATACTAATCCATTTATATTTTTGATTTAATACCTTGAGCCTGATTTTGTTACGACAATGTAAAATTGTGCCAGCAAATTTCCTTGTTTTCAACAGTCTGAAGCATAATTATTTTTTTCAAGAATTTTCGGAGACAATATTTTTTTTCGATAAAATCACAACTCGCTCTCGCTTCGTGTCTTTCTATTCTGGTCACCTGATAATGTTGACAGGTGTACTCGCGGCTTTATCATCCAAAACTGGCTCCCACAGGAGATATCGCTTGGATGAGATGAAGTGATATCTACACTGTAGATATCGCTGCAATGAAATTACATCACAATGCTTTGCAGACCATTGTGACGTCACCGGTTACCATGACGTCACAATCAAATGACATCACTAATGGCTCTGCTAATAAAGCTGTTAGCAGTACTTTTTACACTGAGGACACTGCTTATTACTGTCTACAAACTGAAAAAGCTGGAAGAATGATGTTGGATGATAAATAAAATCTCACCCTTGTGTCTTTGGATATCAAATATATCAACACTCATTGATAAAAGTGGCAAAAATCCTCGGCAAGCCTCGGAATTTTTCCACTTTTATCAACTCGTGTTGATATATTTGATATCAAAAGACACTCGGTGAGATTCTCTATGTGCCACGGTAAATAATTATTAACTTTGCCAGATCCCTCGATTAGGTAAATATATTCTCTAAAGAGACACAAATATGCAATGCTTTTCCTGACGTCAACACTACCACGAATGTTCCCCATTTGTCAGTGTTTATTTTCATTTTAAGAAGCACTGATTTATGAGTGGTGTAAACGCAGAAGTTGTGTACCCAGGTAGACGCGACATGATCGTAGTCCTTTATATCATTCTAAGTATCTGTGAACGTGTAAGTGCCTCCTCCACGGCGAGGACGTATCTGTGGGGGCGTGTTGTATCCCGGCTAAGCTAACCTGATGTACAGTCCACTGGAACATCGACATGCAGTAAATTCAAATACAGCTTTGTGTTTGTTTATGAAACAAAACTATGCGCATGCCTTTTGTATGGAAAGCTGCTTTCTAATTGGCTGATGTCGACTTCTTGTTAGTCGTTTCAGTGGTCGGTCAAAGTTCGCGAAAGGTCGTTCTGACGTGACCCGTAATGGGATGTCCTCAGATCTTTGTTTAGCGGCAGCGAGAACTTAGATCTGATTTTAATGAGATTGTAAATACGTCTTATACTGTATACTCGTTCTATGTGGGACAACTGGGGTATGAGGAAATATTTGAATTTAGATTACTTCGCTCACCATATGGGACAGAGACACATATATAGACACATGCTAACATTTCCGAATGGCCGCTACTTGTTATCAATACATGTCTGTAGCGAGATCGCTCTATGTTAAGCCAAAATCACTCTGTAGAACGAGGCGCTAGCTATAGGTCCACTTTCACAAAGCAATCTTAGCGTTAAGACCATCGTATTTTCCATACTTTAACACAAACCTACAACATACTTAGCGCTAAGACCATTATAATTCCCATACTTTAACATAAACTAGATACTCTATACAAGATTGCTGTGTTCAAGTGGCCTCCTTATCTTAAAGTGAGGAAGTTCGTTTGATATATTGGTGTTAAGACCTCTTAATAGAACGATGCCATGATATGTACTATTGAACGAGCTCGAGGCCATGATATGTATTATTGAACGAGGCCATGATATGCACTATTGAACGAGGCCATGATATGCACCATTGAACGAGGCCATGATATGTATTATTGAACGAGGCCATGATATGCACTATTGAACGAGGCCATGATATGCACCATTAAACGAGGCCATGATATGTATAATTGAACGAGGCCATGATATGCACCATCGAACGAGGCCATGATATGCACTATTGAACGAGGCCATGATATGTATTATTGAACGAGGCCATGATATGCACTATTGAACGAGGCCATGATATGCACCATTGAACGAGGCCATGATATGCACCATTGAACGAGGCCATGATATGCACCATCGAACGAGGCCATGATATGCACCATTGAACGAGGCCATGATATGCACCATTGAACGAGGCCATGATATGTATTATTGAACGAGGCCATGATATGTTTTATTGAACGAGGCCATGATATGCACCATTGAACGAGGCCATGATATGCACCTTTGAACGAGGCCATGATATGCACCATTGAACGAGGCCATGATATGCACCATCGAACGAGGCCATGATATGCACTATTGAACGAGGCCATGATATGCACCATTGAACGAGGCCATGATATGCACCATTGAACGAGGCCATGATATGCCCCATTGAACGAGGCCATGATATGTATTATTGAACGAGGCCATGATATGTTCTATTGAACGAGGCCATGATATGCACCATTGAACGAGGCCATGATATGCACCTTTGAACGAGGCCGTGATATGCACCATTGAACGAGGCCATGATATGCCAGTATATGTAGTCTATGTTCAATATTAACAAGGGCAATTAGATATCACCTTTGATTGACAGCTGTCACTCACAGACTGGTATTTACATTGCAAACGTTCCATATATAAGCTCGTGAATGCAGTTAGAAGGTAAACGAGATCTCGTCCCTCGACGCGAGATAACGCGTATATCTCTTTGGGATCCTCTCTACCCAAGCATCAAGCAACATGTCTGTAAAACATTTTATTTTCAAACATACGCCTCATAAATCCCGGCTAGATAAGTTTAACGTAATATTAATGTATCTGTACATGCATATATCTCTCTACGGCCTCCGCCAAAAGGTTTATAAAGAGGTAATAACTGATCTCAAACTACAGATGTTGGGCGCCAGCATAGGTAGGTTATCAGCAACATGTACACATTATTACATTCGACATTTTTACATAAATATTTCCGTGTATTAAAATAGACAAATAAGGGTTCAATTGTAACTATACCGTTTTTACACTAGTGTGCCAGTAAACACACAACAGAGAGAACATAGGGTAGAACGGATTCAAGGAAGCGAATCTTTCATAAAAGCCAATGTATACTTGTATCCTCCCCAGGGAGCTGAGAATGACGCTTGAGAGCACACTGCTCTATTGGCCGGGTTAATCATGAGCGCTATGAGCGTGGAATTTGGCGCTACAGATATGTACTCATTATCATCATTATATATTGTTGTTGTTGTTGTTGATGTTGTTGTTGTTGTTGCAGCGAGTTGTCAATATCCTTAACAAATAGCGAGTAGTACATTTGTCCACATGGGATTATTGTAAATGATGGAGAGCGAATTCCGGACGAAGCACGTTGATTTTATAAAGTCGTTGACTTGTTGTTATGTCGGGGCTTTCTTGAAAAGAGATGCACTTGAGCAGAGCAAGGGGGGAAACAAACCGTGTTATAACGGGGTATAAGGTGCATGTTCCGCCATATATGCAGTCCAACTCATGCACTGTGTCAACACACTGCCATCTGGTGTGTTTCACGTTCCGCGTTCATTTCACATGTACATTTCACCTCCGTCATCCAGCAATCAACAACAGCATATGCATAACCAACACCTCAGTGCGCGTGTTTGCATAATTAATCGGTCAATACCGATACAATTATAGAACTTATACCTCTCATATTTCTTATTTGTTTCATCAGCCTTCAGGCGTCTAACTAATGGTGTATTTACCTGGATAAAGATGACTTGTAGATCACAGGTGAAACGCGTCTATATCCGAGTGACAGCAATGTACATGAATCAGATGCGTGTCAATATCACACTCACACAGCACGTGCGTAATGTGCTGTCATAATAATCCGGGAATAAAGCCGATATCAACACCTCCGATATCACACTTGTCGATTTCAGCTGTCCATGTCAAATCCAGCACGAGGTTAGAGAAGATCCGATCACTGGACAGTTCTGTGATATTCTGTCTCGTTCAGACCAAGCAGTGGGCGGGTGTAAGATCATGTCATTACAACACACGCAGATATTACAACCTCGGCGAATCAATCAATACACAACAGTTACTGACAACATCAAGTATCTCGGCACTCACAGGCTGGGGAGGGGTATTAAACACGTTGTATCTCCCACCTTCCACATGTAGAGTGACTCGTCAGCAGAATGGTAGATTAACCCCGGATCCAGCTTTATTCTTACATGACATTACGGCGTTCCGCACTAGTAACCACAGCAGAAGGAAATCACATCTCACGTCGCTGGATCGCAGCTCAATCAAATCCCCATGTCGTATGTCTTTGATAACAACCCATTCACGCGCGAGGTGAAACACCTTGCGCCTAAATCAAGAACTGTTTTTTCCGACAGATTAAATTATCGTTTCGTCAGTAACCCTGGTATCATTTTGTAAGCAACCTTCGCCCAAGGCCACGAGTACCGCGGTATATGTGGGTACATTGTGTGTTAAATACCTGCGTATCCCGGCAAGCGTGCCACGGGATTGTCAGTGTGTGTTGATCGAGCTCGACCTGACCTAGATGGCGGCTTTCACCTGCTTCCTTTTGATGTCACACCTGAATGCGCGGCTCATTCGCCGGGATCTAATCGAACACACCCATGCATACTCACAATCACTTCGTTGAATCCTGTGGCGCCCTATCGAACACGCCACGTCGTTGCTAATTCTCTCGGCTGCTGTTGCCGTTATGAATGAATCTCGATATATAACTGTAAACGCTGTGTCCATCGATAAGCAAATTATTCATCTCCGCGAAAATAAGTTATTGGAAAATTATGAATATGCATGTAATTTACACAATATCATCAAGAAGAGCCACACTGCGCAAGTGCAAAGGAGGGATAAGGGTGTATAATATCGATCTCTTCCGACTGAAATATTGATTTTTAAGATCAGGTTAAAAGGAACAATGTAACATATTGTGTTCCATGTGTATAACAGAATGTTCCGGTCTGTTTTGAAAGAAACATTCACGTGATCGCCATGGCCTCTGATATCCTGCGGGGGGCGTGGCTAAAGAGGTCACGTGGTACATTAGAATCAAGTGTACTTTTCTGAGTGAGTGTGTTTTTACGTCGCTTTAAGCAATATGACAGCAATATGAGTGAGTGAGTGAGTATTTTTTTCGCCGCGTTAAGCAATATTCCAGCAATATTGTTACGCTCCGTGTTGAACTTGCAGCTATGCATGACAATATCTCTTGATGTTTATACATACCGTAAATTTCGCCAATAAGTACCGGGTGTTTTTAAATTTTATGTCCTCAGTTCCCGTGTGGTTTTATTTAGGCAGGCGTGTGTGTTTTTCGTTTGCATTTCAATTTTGTTACATTTTGTTTCACATTTACCGTTTTAATTTACCGTTTTAATATACCGTTTTAATTTACCGTTTTAATGTAACGTTTTAATTTACCATTTTAATTTACCGTTTTTATTTACCCTTTCAATTTACCGTTTTAATTTACCGTTTGACTAGACGTTTATGTATTGTCGGTTAATCGAATGTCCCGGCGTATATTAGAGTATTTACGGTTATATCCCACATGTACTTAATGACATGCTGCATCCGGGGTACACTGAGCGGGACATCGTGGTACACCGGTCTTACAACTCCCCACATCATCTGCAGCCGCCTGTTTGTGACGGCTGTTCACACCGGTACCATACCCTGTGTTTACCCTCACCTGCCATCGATGGTTTCGACACCGCTCTAATATAACCGTTATACTACAGTGTATGAGTGAGGGTGTGCGTGAGTATGGTTTAGCGTTTAGCAATATTCCAGCAATATCACGGCGGGGGACTACAGAAATGGGCTTCACACATTGTACCCATGTGGGGAATTGAACCCGGGTTTTCGGCGTGACGAGCGAACGCTTAAACCACTCGGCTACCCCACCGCCCCATTGAGGGCGTGACGCCCCTTTGACCACATGTTCAGTTACGCCACGCTGTGTCAGCTTAGATACGAATAAAACACAACGTAATGCGATCGGAGATGCTGAAACTCCGGCATCATTGTGGAAAGAATCACAGTCGGCCCAATCAGCGGATCCTGCCACGGTTCAAGGACGGCAATCACCACAGCGAGTTGCAGCGCTTCATATCACATTGCTGAAAGTTCTTTTTAAACATGATGTCTGTTATTCATACCAACATTTCTGTTTACAATATTTGCTTCAACATCTCCCAGTGAACCCAGGCACACAGCCCATGCGCATGAAGCTGTTCAGTAATGGGGCTTACGTCCTAGCGTAATTCTACGGAAGCCTTTTAGGGACCATTGTTTTTGTCTTGAAATTTGAAGATACTAAGTTGAAACTCAAGATACTAAGTTGAAATTTTAAGATAAATATATTGAAATTTCAAGTTAAAATTTTAAACTTTCAACTTATTATCTTGGAATTTCCAAATCATTGTTTTAAATTTTCAACTTTGTATATATCTTGAAATTTAAACTTAAAATCTTGAAATTTCAACATAGCATCTTTAAATTATAATAAAGCATCTTGAAATTTCAACTTAGTATAAAGTTCAGTGATCTTGAAATTTAAAGATAATAAGTTGAAAGTTAAGGATAATATGTTAAAATTTCAGTTATAATCTCAAAATTTCAACTTATTATCTTGAAATTTCAAGATCATTTTCTTGAAATTTCAACTTAGTATATTGAAATTTCAAGAAAGAAATATAAAAAAATAAACGGCCCTAAAAGGCTTCCGTATAATTGAATATTAACATTATCTCTTCATCCTTACTGATGCGAATCCTCGCCCCGGGGCAAGTGAAAACAGACCCGGGATGTGTGGTGTATCGATTCACGTGTGTGTGCCACAACACCATGGGAATTATAGTTTAGAAAGAACCCAGTTTCTGACATCAAGTCAAGTACATGGAAATCCCTTAACTGGTTTTACAATTGGTGTGCGCAACTTGTGAGTTGATTATCAAGGAGGAAATATCATTCTGGGAATATAAACCGTTAAACAGTCGAGGCAGTAAACACTTATATAGAATATCCTTCGTCAGTGTGTGTGTGAAGCCCCTTGCTGGTGTTCCCCGGAGTGATGTTGCGGGAATATTGCGAAAAGCGGCATAAAACACTCACATTCTCATTAAAATCAGATCTTAGTTCTCGCTACCGCTAAACAAAGATCTGAGGACATCCCATTACGGGTCACGTCAGAACGACCTTTCGCGAATTTTGACCGACCAATGAAACGACTGACAAGAAATCGACATTAGCCAATCAGAAGGCAGCTTTCTCGAGCTTTACGACACTAGTTTCAAACTGACGACTACGTTTTGAAACATATTTTGACGTATTCTCGATTAAAAAAATTTAAACTGAAAAGAAGAACATTCTGGAATTTCTTATAGATGGCCTAGATTGTATGGATATAATCATAAAACCCGTAACTGTCGTTCGGAATACCCCGTGTTAAATATTTCGTGGTTGCATGATTAGAAAACACATTCCGACAGTCACTTTCATGATCTGGTAAGCGACGCTCTGATTGGTTGGATGAAAGGTCGTTCTGACGTGACCCTTAACTAAGATCTGATTTTAATGAGATTGAAAACTCACCATTTTCATCACCAAAGAATACATTGTCACGTTGATGTCCGCAGACATATGCTGCCTGGTTGTGCATCTGGTACAAATGCAGCCTGTAAGATTAGAAAGTATTGTAATACATGCACACTGTTAAGGGTGTACTACACATCCTTCGTAGTTAGGTTCAGAACATGTGAGCCCTCTTGGTAACTGAGAAACACATATCAAGGCCGTCTTATCTGTTTAGCTGTACTTACCATGGATTGCTGATAGTGTTCGAAATGGAAATATATTTAAATCCTTCATTAACCCGTGAAGGTCTGGGTTAGAGTTGGCCTTGGGCAACCGCTGCTTGTCGTAAGAGGCGACTGACGGGATCGGGTGGTCAGGGTCGCTGACTTGATTGATGCATGTCATCGATATCGTATCCAAATTGCGTAGATCGGAGCTCATAATGTCAGTCACTGGATTGTCTGGTCCAGCCTCGATTCTTTACAGACCGCTGTCGTGGAGCTTGAATATTGCTGATATTGCGTTAAACAACAAACAAACAAACAAACACCATTCATTACACTTGCTTGCTGGTGCCAATGGGAAATACTGTCGTCACGTGATCAGGATGCGTTTAATTCCGCGTTTCAGAAGCAGATTGTGTGCGAGATGCTCAATGCATGTCGTCACAGGTGACGAAAATTAGAAGCGCGGCCTAAAACAATATTCAAGCACCATTCACAGAATTTTAGCGCTTATTATTCGAAGATGAGTCAATGCCAGGTGGGAGCTTGGTCGCCTGGTTAGTGAACACACGACTCCATATGTGGCCTTGCAAACAGTTATAGTCTGTTTAACACAAAAACATGTTTTCACAACCTCAAGACGTGACGTAAATTTAACCAGTGAGTGACTGAGTGGGCGGGCAGGCAGGTGAGCTTCTGGGTGAGTGAGCAGGCAGGTGAGCTTGTGGGTGGGTGAGCAGGTGGGTGAGCTTGTGGGTGAGTGAGCAGGCAGGTGAGCTTGTGGGTGAGTGAGCAGGTGGGTGAGCTTGTGGGTGAGTGAGCAGGTGGTTTAGCTTGTGGGTGAGTGAGCAGGTGGGTGAGCTTGTGGGTGAGTGAGCAGGTGGGTGAGCTTGTGGGTGGGTGAGCAGGTGGGTGAGCTTGTGGGTGGGTGAGCAGGCAGGTGAGCTTGTGGGTGGGCGGGCAGGCAGGTGAGCTTGTGGGTGGGCGGGCAGGCAGGTGAGCTTGTGGGTGGGCGGGCAGGCAGGTGAGATTGTGGGTGGGCGGGCAGGCAGTTGAGCTTGTGGATGGGCGGGCAGGCAGGTGAGCTTGTGGGTGGGCGGGCAGGCAGTTGAGCTTGTGGGTGGGCGGGCAGGCAGGTGAGCTTGTGGGTGGGCGGGCAGGCAGGTGAGCTTGTGGGTGGGCGGGGTATATTGCAAGTTGTCGGTGAGATAGATTCGTTGCAGCAGTATCACGAGAGGGAGACGTGGTTTTATGTGTCCCGCGTTAGGTTTTATACCAAGAGCCTGAGGTTTATAATATCTGGCCTTATTATCCCATGCACTGAACAAATATATAATTATGAGACTCGAACCGGTAGTCCAAGGGACGCAACTCTGGGCAGTGCATGCTTTGCGTGAGTGAGTGAGTGGTGTTTGAGAGGTTGAGTGAGTGGGTGGGTGGGTGTTTGAGTGAGTGAGTGAGTGAGTGAGTGAGTGGGTGGGTGGATGGGTGAGTGAGTGAGTGGCCAGGCTCGCTGACTTGGTAAATGCATGTCATCGATCCCAATTGGGTGGATCGATGCTCATGATCGCAATCACTGGACTGTCTGGTCCAGAGTCGTGGATTTACAGACCGCCGTCATATAGCTGGAATATTGCTGAGTGCGGCGTTAAACAACAAACAAACAAATGCCCCAGAGTCGATTATTTACAGACCGCCGTCATATAGCTTGACTATTGCTTACTGCGGCGTTAAACAACAAACAAATACACAAAAACATGACGTAATAAGGGGGGGACATTCGTGCATCTAGAGGTAGAGAATATATCACTTCATAAATAGGGCGACAGCCATACGTCGTGAGGTGCTTATGCTATCAATCACTGGTTATAATGGTCACGTTTCGATTATTTATACATATAGCCGTAATAAGGAGAGAATAAACCTGAATGTTTTATTGTTTTCACAAGCGTCGTGATATAGCTGTAGATTGATTCAGCTAAAGGGAGTGAGTGAGTTGGGTTTAACGCCGCTTTTAACATTATTCCAGTTATATCACGGCGTGTCAGCTTAATGTGGGAGGAAAGCCCGAAGTGATGCAGGTCTCAGACCTTTACCACTTCGGTGAAACCCACGAGCACGGGAATGGTGCTGACAAACCTAGAAACAAAATCGGGGCGAACCGGGATTCGAACCCACAATCATAGGTTTCTGGCTAGCCCAATGGTCGCAACTCTGCACAGCGAATCGCGGCGCCTCAGACGACTGGGCCACCCGTGCCCCCGATACCGCTAAGTGCGGCGTAGAGCAAGACAGACGCATAGAACACCTAACTGTGCGTCTGAGCTGGTAACCACAGAAACAGCCAGTCCACGATAGCTTCACTGTCTGGAAAACCCGGTTGTTTCGATAGAATCACGGTGTGACGTCACGGCAGTTCCAGGAAGTGTTGTGTATTTTGTCTATTCACTCTTGAAACGAAAATACGTCATATCAATATTGCCTACAAAGGATTATCAATTTACTTATAGCAAAATAAACATGAACTATGTAGAAATGCAGTCACTGCACTGTTTTTCTTAATCATACACATATTTAGTGTAATTGAGTTCCCGACTGCTTGAAAGTTTCGTCAAAACGCATGCCGGGTTTTCCCCCAATCAGGTTACGTTACAGTTCCTGCATAACATCAGTCGACCGGGAGCCCATCGCTGTGATCAGGTAGGTTTTGTGTGGTTTTATTGCGAGTTATAGACCTGCCTTCCTCATGACTTGGTAGTAGCAGCATCGTGCATCTCACAACATCACCGTGTCGCCGCCTCACAAGCCTGCAGCACCGCATTGTCAGAAGCACTGTCGCTCACACGGCTAGGTCACGTCGCCACACTTGCATCGTTCGATAGGTAGAACTGGTGTACTGCTGTTGACTCTTGACAGCAGTGGCCGTGTGCTCGCTGGAGTTCGCAGACCAGGTTTGTTTACTGTACATGTACGAAAACGTCGCATCTCCCTCTATGTGCCATCTACCTTTGTGTGAAGTCTATGTAAGTATAAGATATACGAGTAATACTACAATGTGTGTGTGTGTGTGTGTGTGTGTGTCTGTGTGTGTCTCTCTGTGTGTGTTTGTGTGTCTGTGTGTGTGTCTGTGTGTGTGTGTTTTGTGTGTGTGTGTGTTTTGTGTGTATGTGTATGTCTCTCTGTGTGTGATTGGTGCGTATGTGTGTGTGTGTGCGTGCGTGTGTGTGTGTGTCTGTGTGTTTGTGTGTCTGTGTGTGTCTCTCTGTGTGTGTTTGTGTGTGTGTGTGTCTGTGTGTGTGTGTGTGTGTGTTTTGTGTGTCTGTGTGTTTTGTGTGTATGTGTCTGTCTCTCTGTGTGTGATTGGTGCGTATGTGTGTGTGTGTGCGTGCGTGTGTGTGTGTGTGTGTGTGTGTGTGTGTGTGTGTGTGTGTGTGATTCAAAGGATGTTCTGTAACCATAAGAAGCTATGCACCTTTACTCGTAAATACCCATCTCCGTAATGCTTTACAAGTACATGTATATGTAAACTTATATACAATAAAGCTGATTGGTAATATTTTTCAGAGATTGATCACGGATAGAATAATTTGTAGGTATGTAGCTATATCTGCGGTTATACAACGAACAACGAAGTGAAATCAGTGAAATCCAGATAATTCAGGAAGTTAAATTAGGATATGGTATATCTCTACGTCTTTTTATTATTTGTTTCTAATTTGACAACAGTATCATATCTACTAACTTTGACTGTCGAGTAGCAGATATTACAGATTGTGTAGCTGGATGCCGAGTTTTTTTTCTGACGTACATTTTCCTGAGATCGGAAAGGTGAAGGGTGTGCGAGAATTGCGCTCACGCGGCACTGGATCTACGTCCGGCTATAAATTACGCAGAGATGGAGAATATTAAATTTCCTATCTGGTGGTGTAAATTTAACTGCAAATATTAAACCGGTTTTAGGAAAAGACACTGCTAAGTGTTGACCGAGAATTTATTCCGCGTTGAAAAACAAGAAATTTCTCCGCTTTTTATCGTACACCCATAGAAGTACAGTGCGACGAAATACTGCCTAATATCTGAACGACATAGCCAAATAACTTTTTTTGACAGGGGGGGGGGGGGGGGGGGGAGCAAATATTTGTTCAATATCACTTGTCCCCAAATTGATTCAAATACAACTGTTGTCTATAAAAAAAATCCAGGGGGGGCAGCTGGCTATTACACTCCAAAGAAATATGTATACATGCTGCAGTTACATTTACATTTAATCTTGTATCACTTGTCCAAAGGAAAGAAATATCGTATACGACACTATAAACTTATCAATTTCTTACGTTAACAATATTCAAACAAACAGGAGATTATCAAAGGGTCATACATGTTGTGGCCTATATCTACGTATGATATCATATTGAACATTGACAAATATCCAAAGTGAAATTATTTGTGGGAAAAAATGTTTAAAAGATATGCAAAATCTACATCATAATTGAAACTGTAAATAGCAATACTTTCATAATGATTACTATATCTGGTGGGTTATGAAATAATTTGTATTAATTGATGTTGATAGCATTTAACAAAATATAGAAATAGAACATTTGAGCAGACTTTAGAAAGGGAAAGATCAATAAAAATGTTCACGAGTGCAATATTATACAAAAGCATACGTCGATTTCAAGGCAACAGCTGCAGCTTCATTATTCAAAGATAATCAGGATAATGTGCAAACTGTATAAATACGCGTAGCGGATTCTTACAAAAGTTTGCACATCGGTTTACGATTCATACCTCAATGTACCGAAAAAATACACAGTCAATGCTTATAATTAAATTCGACAACGTAAAACTTGTTTTATCTACAATAGTTTAACCAAAAACAGTTGTATATATCAAAACAGACAAAAATGACGAGATTGATAAACATTCCAGGTGAAGGAATACATACTGTGGCGTGACATGAATCAGGTGATCGTTTAATTTATGTACATATAACTTGACACGCCTACACAGTCAGTAGCCAATCAACGGAGAGTAGGATCAAAACAATGTTCATTGGACCTGTCAATTAAGGCAAGACGCGAAAAGAACTGCAACAGTCAGATTGTAACGAACCGGAAGAAATATGTCCGGGAGAAGGCGGCTGTTTCAGATAACATGGTCATATACTGCGTGATTCAAACATTACTTCCCTGATTACGGTAAAACACAGTTGGAAAAATGCCAGTTAGAAATGAAACCCGAAGACATGAAAGTTGAACCGAGGCGAGCGGGAAAAAAACAGGCGAGCGAGCCTGCACGTTTGCTGTTTCATTCATTCTCGGCCTTCGGATTCAAAGGGTAGTTTAGACAATGAATATGCATGAAAGTCGCTAAATGTCCTGTGCATGACGATACACGTGAGGAGAAAGGGAATTCCCTCGACTGTAAAATTGGGATTCCCCGACATTCCGCAGTAATAAAAGTAGTGCGCCGCGGTGGGCGTGGCTTAATTTTTTTACATTCAGTGGGAAATGAATGCAATAACACGTGACCAATTCAGCTAATCAGAATGCAGGAATTTCCATGAACACAACGAAAATTTTATTATATAAAAATTGTTGTAAAAAACCTTGTGGCATCGGTTTCTTGATTGTGTAATCAATTCCCAGAATGATGAGTACACAGCTGATGACAGGATCAGAATAACCAATGTGATCTAACAATATAGGGGCGGTGGGGTGGCCTAGTGGTGAAAGTGTTTGCTCATCACGCCGAGGGCCCGGGTTCGATTCCCCGCATGGATACAATATGTGAAGCCCATTTCTGATTTTGCTAAAAGCGGCGTAAAACCATACTCATTCACTCACTCGATCACTCACTCGAATATTTCAATGAATCATTACACTACCTTTTCATTTAACTCTGTTATACTTTAAACTGGGAGATACGCTGACGTTCGACGAAGTGAGTGAGTGAGTATAGTTTTACGCCGCTTTTAGCAATATTCCAGATATATCACTGCGGGGGACACCAGAAATGGGTTTCACCACGCATTGTACCCATGTCGGGAATCGAACCAGGGTCTTCGGCGTTACTAGCGAACGCTTTAACCACTAGGCTACCCGATCGCCCCTTCCACCAAGTTAAAGTGAGTGAGTGAGTGAGTATGATTTTACGCCGCTAATTAGCAATATTCCAGCAATATCACGGCGGGGGACACCAGAAATGGGCTTCACACATTGTACAAATGTCGGGAATCGAACCCGGGTCTTCGGCGTGACGTGCGAACGCTTTAACCACTAGGCTACCCAACCGCCCCTTCCACCAAGCGAAAGGCTATGCTTTGTAATTGAAGATGGAGAAGAAGAAGACGAATATCACGTCTTGTTAGTCCACTCTTGTTTTGTTTGTGTTTGTTTGTTTGTTGTTTAACGCCGCACTCAGCAATATTCCAGCTATATGACGGTGGTCTGTAAATAATCGAGTTTTGACCAGACAATCCAGTGATTGACATCATGAGCATCGTTCCACGCAACTGGGATACGATGACATGCATCAACCAAGTCAGCGAGCCTGACCACCCGATCCCGTTAGTCGCCTCTTACGACAAGCATAGTTGCCTTTTATGGCAAGCATGTGTTGCTGAAGATCTATTCTACCCCGTAATACATCATTTACCCTAATCATTTACCCCAGAAACAGTATCTGTACCCTAAAATCATGACTCTAATCTCCCTATGTGATGTGATTAGGTATTCAGCTATTTATGTATACCAGTCAATGATATACAAACGGAAAAAAGTAACTGCTTCATATAAAGTTCAATAAAAATATATTTATTCTGAAATTAAATAATGCATCTTTCTATACATATTCATGAAGACGTCTCCTCGATTTAACGACGTAATTCACAATTTGCACGTGCATGTTTATGGTCAGCGCACAATTTGGATGTTTGTGTGTTTGTTGGCACTCATTATACTACTACTACTACTACTACTACTACTACTACTACTACTACTACTAGTTGTTTTAACTGCATTCGTCTAAGGCGCCGCGATTCGCATTGCAGAGTTGCGTCCCTTGGACACGCCAGAAACCTATGATTGTGGGTTCGAATCCCGGTTCGCCCCGATTATGTTTCTAGGTTTATCAGCACCATACCCGAGCTCGTGGGTTTCAGTGGTAAACGTCTGAGACCTGCATCACTTCGGGCTTTCCTCCCACATTAAGCTGACACGCCGCGATATAACAGGAATACTGTTAAAAGCGGCCTTAAACCCAACACACTCACTCACTCCCTATTGCACGAGGGTTTTGAATGTGAACAGCACACAATGTTTGTTTAGCTATCCGATGCTCATAAAAAAAACATTTTTGTAAATACTTACCGTAAATAACGCTTACGCAATGGTACGGCATTGGTTCATCCTGGGAATTGATACCAGACCGCCACATAAACAGCTCGGACAATTCCTGGGTTGATACAAATTAGTGGCAGAACCGTGCGCAAATTGTTGAGGGAGCAAAACATCCGACCCCGACGTCCAGCGATACGCACAATTTTGTTTCAACGTCACCGTCCGGCACGCCTAGCTTGGTGTAAACAGCATCTGAGGTTCCTAAGACAAGACTGTGAGAGTAGACTGGTCCCAGGTGTGTCCTGGTTTCATCTAGGCAGCTCTGAGGTCGTGCAAGGGTCTACAGTCGTCCAGGAGAGACCCGTGAAGATCCGGGGTAGAATAGGTCTTCAGCAACCCATGCTTGCCGTAAAAGGCGACTATGCTTGTCGTAAAAGGCGTCATACCAGCAGACGTTAAAAGATGGTACTTGTTGTTACCCTGTCTGGCGCTCGGCACATCGGGGCTCAAACAAGGACTGGTCGGCTCGGAGTCAGTATACTGTGTCTGAGTGATGTATTCATGTTAAACTGCGGCATGGTATCTCAGTGAGCTAGCACTATAAATCGGCATCAGTCCAGACTAGTACAAGCAGCCACACGCATACATACACGTGAATGCACGTCGCTATATAAGTGCAATAATCTTGGACGTGACGTTAAACCCCATTTCACCTCACCTCACCTCTGTTAGGGCGCCGCGTTCTGTCTCTTAATACCACGTGTGGGTTTTATCAATCAATCTGTTAAGACGAATAACCAAATATCATGTTAATTTCCATCACATAACATTGACATCAATGTATGTTATGTTCTCTGTTCACAGACACTTTAATCAAGCAGGGAATATTTGACTATCTTATAAGTCGCCTTCACGGGGTTGTAAAGTGACAACTAAGTCGTACGGTTAAACGAGGGCACATCAGTGGTACGGTTAAACGAGGGAATTCTCGATTTTTTTTTGACGGACGTATTTTCGTTCATGTTTAAAAATGGGTCAGTGTGTCATACAGTGAGATGTATAAATGTGATGTAAATTAGAGTTTCTCCTGAGTACGAATCGTTGTCTTTATTTTGACCTAGTTTCTCACCGATTGAAAAGGCCTTGAATTTGCGCACCGTTGTATAGCATTAACATATGTTCAACAGTAAGTGTAAATTGTCTGCTTATGATGCGAATCGCCACGTCATGCTCCCATTCCCCTTTGATATTTCAGTTAAGGCCATGTCGAGCCACAAGGCCATCAAGGCCATTTCATTACGCTAAAGCCCTAGCTTCAGAGGATACCCGCCATCACCGAGAGCTTTACTGCGGACTGCGTCCTCCGCCACGCCCAATCAATGTCTGAGGAAACACGATCCAAAGTCATCTCTTACTCTCCTTCAAACCGTATGGTACGTCACGCCCAATCAATGTCGTCGGAGGAGACACGGCCTAAAACCTTACCTGACCTTCCGAACCGCCTTCCACATCACACCCCACCCATATCTGGGACAAGAGGACTCTCAGCCATTGCTGACTTTCAACCAAACCGCTCCCCATACCACACCCAATCAACGTCTTCAGTGGCTACAAATCCAACAGCCATGGCTGTGTATTCGCCTTCGATTCACCTCCCACGTCACATCAAAACGTCTTCAGAGGAAACACTACCCAAAGCCGTTTCCAAGTGTCCTCCAAACCTCTTTCCACATCACACTCAATCACCGTGGGAAGAGACATGCCCAAAAGATATATCTATGTTGCCTATAACCAATAACTCGATGTCTTCAGACACACGCCCACTATCCGTGGCCGCGAGTCCTCCCCCACGCCACGCTACAGCTACGCCGACAGAAGGACGCCCAACCGTCACTGACATCCCAGCCAAGGGACGTGGACGACTCACCCGCGCTGAGTCCATACAACTAGGTGACCATAACGATATATACAAGATTGCTCAGATGACAGACTTTAAGGATGCCAATATCAACAAAGTCGAAATAAACAATCATTATTATCAAGCTTACCGCAGTAAAAGCGATGGCATCTATAAATATGTGAATACAGAATCGGACTCCAGGATTGAAGTGACCAACAGATATGGTACTGCAACTGACTGTGATGATGATGATGGTGATGGTGGTGGTGGTGGTGGTGGTGGTGATGGTTCTGCTGCTGATGCTGGTTCATACAGAGGGAGACTGGGAAGGAGAGGGTGTGCGGAAGACCTGGAACACGACAGCTACGGGCCGATGAAGAAGCACAAGGCAGACCCGACGGAAACATCCCTCTTCACAACATCTGATCGTTGGCAGAAGGGTCCCGAGAGAAACATTAGGATGGGGTCCTCAACGTTCTGGGCTGACGGGACCGGTCAGTTTGGTTCTGTCAACGATGACTTTATGCATTCCCAGTGTCAACGATCACGTGATGGCTTCCTGCTACAAAGTAGCTATGAGAAACGTGAGATGACGTCAACATCAGATGGTGGTACCGTCACTCTGCAGAAATGTATGTAATAACTTGTGACCAATCTGGGTATTATTAGTTATACATAACAGTCGAGTGAGTGAGTGAGTATGGTTTGATGCCGCTTTTAGCAATATACCAGCAATATCACGGCGGGGGACACCAGAAATGGGCTTCACACAATATACCCATGTCGGGAATCGAACCCGAGTCTTCAGCGTGACGAGCGAACTCTTTAACCACTAGGCTACCCGACCGCCCCCATAACAGTCGAACCACGTAGGGTTCTGGGTTAGAATTGGACCCTAGCAACGGCGGGTATCGTTGCTCATAATATTAATCACTGGTTTGTCTGGCCCACACTCGATTATTTACAGATATCTGGAATATTGAAGAGTTGGGCGTTAAACAGCCAACAAATACATTATATATGATTCTCACAGGTTTCTTTTTTTAATTTAACGCCTACATATTCCTGGTGATTCACGATTACGCTCATTGTTGGTTCCAGGTTCCGAGTCGATCGTTTGCATAACAGACAGCGTGAAGATATTCGACAGTGATGGCGAGATGGTGCGGGAGGGGGATGTGCTGTACATAGAGTGCAAGGGAGGGTATTACGGCGTGTATGTTGGTATGTGGACCTCCAGGGAGGGTATTACGGCGTGTATGTTGGTATATGGAATTACAGGAAGGGTATTATGGCGTGTTTGTTGGTATGTTGAAAGTTTATGGAATCTAATGCGGCGTGTATGTTGGTATATGGAATTACAGGGAGGGTATTACGGCGTGTATGTTGGTATATGGAATTACAGGGAGGGTATTACGGCGTGTATGTTGTATGTGGAAAGTTTATGGAATCTAATGCGGCGTGTATGTTGGTATATGGAATTACAGGAAGGGTATTACGGCGTGTATGTTGTATGTGGAAAGTTTATGAATCTAATGCGGCGTGTATGTTGGTATATAGAATTTCAGGGAGGGTATTACGGCGTGTATGCTGGTATATGGAACAACATGGGAGGGTATTACAGCGTATGGCAAGGGCTATTCTGTAGACAGCTCGTTTTTCACTCTCTCTTGTCTCAAAATATATAGAACAATTTCACATTGTTAAGTTATCGTATATTTCTTAATTTGATAATGTTTCTTTTATGTTAACATAATTATTGCTCACAATGTTTATCAACTGCTGTAGGTCATGGCGCGGTGACGTTCGTTGAAGCAGATGGCAGGGTCACCACCAAGAGATTGGATGGAAATTTGACGTCACCAATAGCAACAGAGGGGCTTGATGGAGTTGCAGGGTAGGGGGTCTTTGTTTCTTGTTGTGCAATACTCCCGCTACACAAACCGAATTCCGGCCTTGAACACTTACCCAGCAACACATGCTGGAGGTATGAGGCGACACAATAGATCGGATCGTCGGATTGTCGAATGCATGTCATCGCACCCCAACGTCATGGATCGTTGCACATAATATCAATCACAGGTTTTCTGGTCCAGACTCGATGGTTTAAAGACCGCCGTCATAAAGCTAAAATACTGTTCGGTTAAACAAAAAACAAACAAAAACAAACGATCCAGCAGGCGAGTTGATGGCTATTTTAACACACTCAATTCTGTGTGTAACCTTGTTTTATTTATAATACCCATAAAGAATATCGCTTGTGGAAACGCTACCCTATCTACTTTACTTTTATTATTATAATGCTTGTTTTCATACAATCTGTTTTTTCTTGCAAACATTAAAAACATTCAATTCAGTAGGTTTTGAGTGAGTGGGTGAGTTGGGTTTAACGCCGCTTTTAACAGTATTACAGTTATATCAAGGCGTGTCAGCTTGATGTGGAAGGAAAGCCCGAAGTGATGCAAGTCTCAGACGTTTACCACTTCGGTGAAACCCACGAGCACGGGTATGGTGCTGACAAACCTAGAAACATAATTGGGGCGAACCGGGATACGAACCCACAATCATAGGTTTCTGGCGTGCCAAAGGGACGCAACTCAGCACAGCGAATCGCGGCGCCTTAGACGACTGGGCCACCCATGCCCCCATTAGGTTTTGAACTAATGTAAGTTGTAAATAACCACCTTGGCCAAAAAAACAGAGCAAAACAATCTAGCTACACACGGAGGTCGGATAATAATCGAATCTGGGTTTATAGCATGCTCAGCGCCATCTTGGTATGATGACATTCAGCCAGGCTGGCAGAGAGCTTGACCACCCGATCCCCACTGCTTCTCACAACTAGCACTGGTACTGTCTGAACTGACCATCTAAAGTTAGCGTCGAAAGCGATTTTCAGAAACCACTAGGCCCACAGCGTTGAAATTTTCTGATAACGGCAATACCATAATTTGACGTGGATTTGTTAATGGCATAATCAGATGATCATGTTTAGCTTTTAAATTGAACTAAAGATGCGGAGGCATCACCTCAGAAACAAAAAGGTATCGAGAGATGATATTTGTAGTAGCACGTGCTGCTCTACGAAGGGCAGGGGTCTAATTATGGTATGCAGATTTAAGTGTCAAGTGTTTAAGAATATCACATCAATCCAGCTTAAACTGTGTATGTGTATAGGTCAATGGTTTCTTTAACAACCATCATCTGGCCATTGTCGATGAGATTAACATTAATTACATTCTAGTAGTTGCTTGATCAATACGGTTTGTAGCAAATAACACAGTTTATAACATAACAGTTTTTACACAACAGAGTTAAAAGCAACAGTTGTTACACAATACAGTTAATAACATAACAGTTGTTACACAACACAGTTAATAACATAACAGTGACACAACACAGTTAATAACATAACAGTTGTTACACAACACAATTAATAACATAACAGTTGTTACACAATACAGTTAATAACATAACAGTTGTTACACAACACAGTTAATAACATAACAGTTGTTACACAATACAGTTAATAACATAACAGTTGTTAGACAACACAATTAATAACATAACAGTTGTTACACAATACAGTTAATAACATAACAGTTGTTACACAACACAGTTAATAACATAACATTTGTTAGACAACAAAGTTAATAACATAACAGTTGTTACACAACACAATTAATAACATAACAGTTGTTACACAACACAGTTAATAACATAACAGTTGTTAGACAACACAGTTAATAACATAACAGTTGTTACACAACACAATTAATAACATAACAGTTGTTACACAACACAATTAATAACATAACAGTTGTTACACAACATAGTTAATAACATAACAGTTGTTACACAACACAGTTAATAACATAACAGTTGTTACACAACACAATTAATAACATAACAGTTGTTACACAACACAGTTAATAACATAACAGTTGTTAGACAACACAGTTAATAACAAGACGGTTGTTACACAACACAGTTAATAACATAACAGTTGTTACACAACACAGTTAATAACATAACAGTTGTTACACAATACAGTTAATAACATAACAGTTGTTACACAATACAGTTAATAACATAACAGTTGTTAGACAACACAGTTAATAACATAACAGTTGTTAGACAACACAGTTAATAACATAACATTTGTTAGACAACAAAGTTAATAACATAACAGTGACACAACACAGTTAATAACATAACAGTTGTTACACAACACAGTTAATAACATAACAGTTGTTACACAACACAGTTAATAACATAACAGTTGTTAGACAACACAGTTAATAACATAACAGTTGTTACACAACACAATTAATAACATAACAGTTGTTACACAACACAGTTAATAACATAACAGTTGTTACACAATACAGTTAATAACATAACAGTTGTTACACAACACAGTTAATAACAAGACGGTTGTTACACAACACAGTTAATAACATAACAGTTGTTACACAACACAGTTAATAACATAACAGTTGTTAGACAACACAGTTAATAACATAACAGTTGTTAGACAACACAGTTAATAACAAGACGGTTGTTACACAACACAGTTAATAACATAACAGTTGTTACACAACACAGTTAATAACATATAACATTGGACATGCTGGACGTTCATAAAAAATGTGGAATACGAGGAAAAATATCTGCCACACATTGAACCCCCACTCCACTCAGAAGCCGAACCCAAGTGGAGTCTCTATGTATTTTGACACAACGAGTTGTAAATAGGTGCCGCGATAGACCTGTGAAGATACGGGGTAGAATAGGTCTTCAGCAACCCATACTTGCAGTAAAATGCGACTCTGCTTGTCGTAAGAGGCGACTAACGGGATCGGGTGGTCAGGCTCGCTGACTTGGTTGATGCATGTCATCGATCCCAATTGCGTGTATCGATTCTTATGATGTCAATCACTGGATTGTGTGGTCAAAACTCGATTATTTACAGACCACCGTCATATAGCTGGAATGTTGCTGAGTGCAGCGTTAAACAACAAACAAACAAACAAACAAACAACCAAACCATATGATGGTCCTCCTGGTTCCCGGGACATTGTCGCGCCATCATCTCTCATCAAACAGCCAGAGTGTGACTTCAAATTCACAACCACACTTTCATTACGCCAAACTTGTCACAACAAGTTCTTTGTATCCAATGACATATTAAGATGCACATATCAATGTTAGATATATGTTGTTTGTTTGTCTGTTGTTTGACGCCGCACTCAGCAATATTCCAGCTATATGACGGCGGTCTGTAAATATTCGAGTCTGGACCAGACAATCCAGTGATTAACATCATGAGCATCGAACCATGCAATTGAGGTCGATGACATGCATCAACCAAGTCAGCGAGCCTGATCACCCGATCCTAGGTATATGTACATTGTTTACACTGAGTAAACTGAATCTGAATCTACACTGAATCTAACATGTCACTACATCTAACCTTCAAGGGAGCACGGGTGGCCCAGTCGTCTAAGGCGCCGCGTTTCGCTGTGCTGAGTTGCGTCCCTTGGGCACGCCAGAAACCTATGATTGTTGGTTCGAATCCCGGTTTGCCCCGATTATGTTTCTAGGTTTGTCTGCACCATACCCGTGCTCGTGGGTTTCACCGAAGTGGTAAACATCTGAGACCTGCATCACTTCGGGCTCCATCACCTCGGGCTTTCCTCCCACATTAAGCTAACACGCCGTGATGTAACTGGAATAATGTTAAAAGCGGCGTTAAAACCAACTCACTCACTCACTCACTCACTCTAACCTTCAGCTCACTTTAAAGACAACTGGTGAGCTACAGTACCTTGGCGGTGTCTATGTTTTCTGACAACGTGTTGCTGTGTTGTAGCTATCATCGGCTGAAGCCACTCCAACGGTCGGAGACATCGCGGCGAGCAAAGGAGTTGATTGGTCACTATTACCAAGGAAGTGGTGAAGACTTCGTTTGGTTCTGTCGTTATAACGTCCCACTCGTTCCCAGGTAAACTGAGGTCGACGACGTTGACGAACACCTGTACATATAAGAACTACTTATGTTAATTCTATAACAGTAAAACACCGCATGTTACCTTATGTTTTTTAAATGTCTAACAAGATGACTTGCCAACCCGACACCGTATTGGATGGATTTCTGAATGGACGGTTGTTGTGTCGTCTTTCGTTTACGTGTATGTAAATAAACCTGTTTGTTAACCCCTTTTCATACGCGTTTGGTATCATATTGGAAATAAACAGTAGCATACCGTTCTGGCGCAAAGACGTTTGTCAAAAACATCTTTTTTTGGCGATGACTCCTGAGATCCATGCACTCTCTTGTCCAACTCGTGAAGTGGTTCCATGAAGCCGAAGCGACTAAAATGTGGATCGTGTGGTCACAATGGCTGTTGCTGAGTGGTTATGGCCTGGTTGGCAACCAGGGAGGATGTTCACGTGATCTAGTACTTACGTTCCATGCTGACCAAAGTTCTTCACCTGTATATTCGGCCTGACTATACACAGACGTTGTGTTTTATTTGTTTAACTGCCACATTGTTTGGCAGCAATAATGCAATCTGTGCTTCCATCCGCCCGCCCTTACGGCCCAAGCCTCCTGGATGATGACACACCTCCATGAAATATATATATCAAATATGTAAATGAATAATGAACTAAGGAAACCCAGAGATTAAAGGATATTTATTTAAAATCTTGGACAGCATCATCGACTCTAACAAACAAGTGCTTTTATTACAAAATGTTTAAATCAGAAATAATTATGGAAGATTATTTATCAAAAGTTAATGTTAAAAATTTCTAACGGCTCTTTCACGTTTTAGATGTTATTTTCACGACCTTTTAACAGAAACAGGGCGCTATGTAAACATTCCTCGTGAAGAAGGAATCTGTAATCTATGTAGTTTAAACTAAGTAGAAGATGAATTTCATTTCTTACTAGTATGTCCAGTGTATTTACACCTTAGAGAAAAATACCTGCAAGCTTATTATTACAGGTACCCTAATATTATTAAATTTGTTACACTGCTGTCAAACACAGAAAGAAGTATCTTACAAAATGTTTCCATGTACTTATATTATGCCTCTTTATACCAACAGAACCTTATGAAAGAATAATCTTATCTGCTTGGTATTAGGAAACTATTGTGTATATACATTAAGTACATATTTATAGATATTTGCCTTATGAATAAACTACAAACAAAAGAGTTAGAAATGGTATTAAACTACTAGGCTGTCATATGATATTGTGGGACGTGATATTACAAATGGTTTAGTATAGTTATATGTATATGAAATGATATGATGTGACATGACATGATGTGATATGATATGATAAGTGTTGTGGTGTGATATGATACATGAGGGGATATGATGCAATATGTGATGTGTATTATAGAAATTGTGTAAATACTGTTCTTTTAGTGTACATATTTTATGGCTTGCGGTCTTCCAGTGTTGAATAAATATTGATTGATTTATATGAAATAAATTGGCATGGAATGACATGGCATTATATGGTATGATATGATAAGATATGATGGGACAAGCTATGAAATTGCTAATGTGTTGTGTGATATGACATGTTGAAATGTGATATAATATAGGTGCTATATATGGTACGATGGTATGTATGGTATGTTATGATATGATAATGGTATATGAAATAATACTATATAGTATGATCTTATAATAATGATACAATATGATATGGTGTTATAGAACATGTTGTATGATATAACAAGTTGTGATATGGTAAAATAGAAATTATGAAATTACAGGGTATGGTATTGTTCTGTATGTGTGAAATTATGTGACTGCGTTGAGATGCGAGGTGGAATGACGTGAGGTGATTTGGTGAGATATGTACATAAATTGTATAAAATTGTATATTCTTCAAATTGTACTATAGGCCTGTGGCCTCTTCAGTATGTGAAATAAAGATTGAACTAAGGAAAATAACCAAATTCTTCCAAAACATAAATATACAAACACAATCAGACAAAATGTCCTACAGTAGTGAATTGTGAAAAAACAATCTTTACAGCGGCACACAATATGCCTTACTTTCCTCATCTCAATAAATGTCTTCTAAAAGCTAAACTGATTTCATCGTAAACGGCCACTCACCAAGCCACCTGACGCTACTATAGTGACTGAAGCGTTTCTAAAATAGTTACCAAGCGTCCTCCGAATATGCTTACTGAAAGACCAATCAGGAACAAAGAAACCATTGGAGACCACGTGAGCCTAAATGTGAGCTCTACGGTCATTCCAAAATGAGGGTCCTCACCTCGTCACACCAGCTGTCCAACGCTTTGTCGTTGACGTAGTTCCGAACGACTACAACCCGATGGTCTAATAGCGCCTCACCCGATCCAACGCACTTGCCATCTTCCCCGGGCAAGGGAGTTAACTGACTATAAAAGTCCAGTTTCCCCCTGCCGAACTCGGCTGCAATTATGGCTGGACTAACGAGTCTATGCATCGTCCAATCAAAATCGCGTAATGAAATAGACATCCGGTTCGTAAACAAAATGAATTTCAACGTTCAGACTTCGGTCGACTGCAGGATTTGCAAAGCATGTATACCGCCAACTGGGCGTCGACAGATATTTTTTCAAATTCTTTCATGCTTTTTAATCAAGGTGGTCACGTGATTTGATGCACTTCGCGGGATAAGACCCGTTTTATTACAATATAGATTTTGATTTTCGAGCAAACCAAACAGAATACGCGGATGACTTCAAGTACTTTGGTCAATAATATTTTGGTCAGGTATAATGACATTGTTTCAAGTTAACAACAGACAACCTCTCCACCATCACTGGCCTAACCCATTCTTGACCAACTCGTGTTATTCAGGGACAAGTCGAATAGTGGTGATGTTGGTGCTGGTGGTGCTGGAGGTAATAGTATATTTAGTCCTATTTCTTGTAGAGTTACATCCCTTAGAAGAACCAGGATTCACGAGCTAGAATCACCAACTGCCACAATCATTATCCTTGGGGTGTCAGCAACATACCAGTGTCTGTCAATTTCCCTATGGTGATAAAGACGTCAAATTGCGCTAGTTTTAATTTACCTAAAGGCTAAGCCTATCTTATCTTGAATACCAAAGTTTAATGTTCCTTTCAAGGACTAGGTTTAGGAACAAAGGTGTCACGTGGGTCACATGTGACAGGTGCGATCGTCTCATGAAAACCTGACGCCACATGCACACGTATATATAGCAAGAATGACTGCAAGGCCTTCGCAAGCCTGCTAGAATGCTGCCGGGTAAGTGATGTGTTATCAGACAGACAGACGGACAAACAGACAGACATTTAATGCAGTAAGAATAAGAATAATACAGACAATAGTTGATTGCATGAACTACGCAAGCCAAGGAAGTAATCGATTTAAGTTTCTCTTAGCCGTTGGACTTTATATAGATATAAACATGTGTTATATACAACATCAAAGTTTTCTGATAAAATAATTTCAGTAAAAGATGTTACAGTTTGAAACTTGATATACTGTTTAAGATACATATTTCTTAGCGCTGAATAACGCTCACATACAAGTAAAATATGAGATTCATCTTCAATAAAAGATATACCATTTTCTACACAATATTTACATAATCGTTCAGTGTATGGGACATGTGTGTATCTCCCCAAGTCAACTGCAAGTTTAAACTTGCTACATCTGAAACGAGTCATACATATTCTCAGATGTACTGGTATGGGGAGTGTAAAATATTTTTCTACATTTAACAGGGATTTAGAATGTTTATAATAAAAGGTATCAGATATACTGTTGATAGAACTACACCATGATTGTTGAAGGTTATCAAAAAATCTTTGCTTGATGAATAAATATCTTCACATTGCCAACATCTTGTGTTAACCACGTGTTATCTATCTGTAGCAATAAAATAGAAATATTGTTTTATATTATCACGAATTGAAACATATTAACACTTGGCCAACGTGTATTTATTTGTGAACAAATCACAACAAAACTCTTGAAATAACGTGGTAGTCCGTTGGTTAACGCGTTTGCTCGTTGAGCCGAAGACCCGAGTTTGGTTCCCAATATGAGGAGGATATGTGAAGCCCACGTCTGGTGTTCCCCGCCGTGGTGTCGCTTGAACGTTGCTAAGAGCGGTGTAAAAACCCAAAACTCACTCAATCCCAAAATCTGCCGCAAATGAAATATGTGGACTTATGTTAACATATACTTTTAAGTATATTTTTAAGTTTAATTACACTGGTGTTAAAGTTCTGAATTTACTGACAAATCATTTTCAGAAATTTCACCACAATTGACCGCCGCTAGTACGAGTATAGTTATTCCAGAACGTTTGGTTTGAGAAATTCAGGGATGTCACTTTAAAACTGTAGCGCTGTCGTCAAGTCAACGGCAAAGAGCGGGTCTTTAATCTATACTGGTTCAGTTTGAACCCAATAGGCATAACCCCGACTCCAGAAATGTAGGTCACGTGATGCAGTGAGAACCCCGACCCGTGAAGATCCGGGGTAGAATAGGTCTTCAACAACCCACGCTTGCCGTAAAACGGGATCGGGTGGTCAGGCTCGCTGACTTGGTTGATACATGTCATCGATCCCAATTGCGTGGATCGATGCTCATGATATTTATCACTGGATTGTCTGGTCCAGACTCGATTATTTACAGACCACCGTCATATAGCTGGAATATTGCTGAGTGCGGCGTTAAACAACAAACCAAACAACCAAGTGAGAACCTAATCTAAACACTCCAACGCCAGGAATGTAGGTCACGTGGTGCAGTGATAACCCAATATAGACTATCCCACGCCAGGAATGTAGGTCACTTGGTGCAATGAGAACCCAATGTACACCATCCCAAGCCAGGAATGTAGGTCAAGTGGTGCAGTGAGAACCTAATGTACACCATCCCACGCCAGGAATGTAGGTCACGTGGTGCAGTGAGAACCCAATGTACACCATCACCATCCCACGCCAGGAATGTAGGTCACGTGGCGCAATGAGAACCCTTGTACACCATCCCACGCGAGGAATGTAGGTCAAGTGGTGCAGTGATAACCCAATGTACACCATCACCATCCCACGCCGGGAATGTAGGTCACGTGGCGCAATGAGAACCCTTGTACACCATCCCACGCCAGGAATGTAGTTCACGGGGTGCATTGAGAACCCAATGTACACCATCCCACGCCAGGAATGTAGGTCACGGGGTGCATTGAGAACCCAATGTACACCATCCAACGCCAGGCATGTAGGTCACGGGGTGCCTAGTGGAGTGTGTGGGGTTGGGGTATCTCTGTGTGGTTCACACTACACCTACATTTCTTGAGTATGACTGCTGCACCACGTTTCACAAAGATATCCACATCTTCACATCAGGCACCTGAGACAGGCATGCATATAGATACAAACATATTGCTCGCTGATGCAAAGCCAGCAGTGCCTTAAAATAACATTAATGAAGCAGTTTTGTTTCCATAGCGTCCACGATGTTAGCGCTGTTTGTGGCGCCCCTGGTGGTGGTGCTGGCTTCTGCAGTCACCGTCGACCTGACCGCGATGCAGTTCGTGGGAATTGGCTACAACCTGTTGAAGGCCAACCCCGAGGGGGAGGACACGGTGCCGCGAGGGGGGATAGACCCGGGCCTTCTTCTGACCAGGAACATCTTGAAACTGACCGGGAAGGATCCACCGGAAGCCGAATTCGTTCAAGGACGTAATGTCAACGCGTCGGAGGAACATATCTACTATGGCCAGAAGTCCTACCAATCCATGCTGTCGCGCCGAGTAGACACTTCCTGTGAGAACCAGCGTAGCGACAAGCGTGATGGAGTGATAGATGATGTAGTGATGTAGCGATGTTGTGATGTAGTAACTGAGTGATACCTGAATGCGAGTGACTGAAAGGCGTGTCTGAATGCGTGTGTATGAAGAGGTATAATTCAATGTTGTGTATGAAGAGGTATATTTCAATGCGTGTGACTGAAGAGATGTATGTGAATGCGTTTGTTTTGAGAAATGTATCTGAATGCGAGTGTCTTAAGAGGCGTGTCTGAATGCGTGTGTCTGAAGGGGTGTATCTCAATACATGTCTGAAAAGGTGTATCTCAATACGTTTGTCTTAATAGGTGTATGTGAATGCATGTGTCCGAAGAGATGTATCCAAATGAGTGTTTCTGAAGAGATGTATCTCAATTTGTGTGTCTGAAGAGGCGTGTCTGAATGCGTGTTTCTGAGAGGAGTATCTGAATGCGTGTGTCGTAAGAAATGTATCCGAATGCGTGTGTCTGTACGAGATGTATCTCAATTTGTGTGTCTGAAGAGGCGTGTCTGAATACGAGTGTCTTAAGTGGTGTGTCTAAATGCATGTGTTTGAAGAGGTGTATCTCAATACGTTTGTCTTGATAGGTGTATCTGAATGCATGTGTCTGAAGTGTTGTATATGAATGCGTGTGTGGGGAGTGGTGTGTCGGAATGCGAGTGTCTGAAGAGATGTATCTAAATGCGTGTGTCTGAAGAGATGTCTCTAAATGCATGTGTCTGAAGAGGTGTGTCTGATTGCATGTGTCTTAAGTGTTGCGTCTCAATTTGTGTGTCTGAAGAGGTGTGTATGAATGCATGTGTCTGAATTGTTGTATCTCAATTTGTGTCTGAAGAGGTGTGTCTGAATGCGTGTATCTGAAGAGATGTACCTGAATGTATGTGTCTGAAGAGGTGCGTCTGAATGCATGTGTCTGGAGGTGTATCTCAATACGTGTGTCTCAAGAGGTGTGTCTGAATGCGAGTGTCTGAAGAGATGTATCCGAATGCGTGTTTCTGAAGAGATGCGTCTGAATGCATGTGTCTGAATGCATGTGTCTGGAGGTGTATCTCAATACGTGTGTCTCGAGAGGTGTGTCTGAATGCGAGTGTCTGAAGAGATGTATCCGAAGCGTGTTTCTGAAGAGATGTATCTGAATGCATGTGTCTGAAGAGGTGCGTCTGAATGCATGTGTCTGGAGGTGTATCTCAATACGTGTGTCTCAAGAGGTGTCTGAAGGGGTGATATACCCACACTCCAGTGTCTCAACTTTTATATATTATCTATCAATGACAGAACACGGCGGGCACGGGGGGCCCAGTCGTCCAAGGCGCCGCGATTTGCTGTGCAGAGTTGCGTCCCTTGGGCACGTCAGAAACCTATGATTGTGGGTTCGAATCCCGGTTCGCCCCGATTATGTTTCTAGGTTTGTCAACACCATACCCGTGCTCGTGGGTTTCACCGAAGTGGTAAACGTCTGAGACTTGCATCACTTCGAGCTTTCCACCCACATTAAGCTGACACGCCGTGATATAACTGGAATAATGTTAAAAGCGGCGTTAAAATCCAACTCACTCACTCACTCAGAACACGACGTTCATCAAATATTCATGTAAGTTGATTAACACTCTTAAAAAATTATGATAAATCAGCCTTCTTTGGCTCACTCGCAGTGCAGCAGTTTTGTCTTCTTGCAGTTGGTGGCGCAATAGGCAAGTTCCTCGCAGGCTTCTCCTTCAGCATGAGCGCAAGTAAGTACAGCTACACAGGTCCTACCTGCCTATGTAGAGGACTTTATACACCGGAGTAGTACTACAACAGACAGGTAGCTCTGTCTAACACATCGGCTACTACCACAACAGACAGGTAGCTCTGTCTAACACATCGGGTGGTACCGCAACAGACAGGTAGCTCTGTCCAACACATCGGGTAGTACCACAATAGACAGATAGCTCTGTCTAACACATCGGGTAGTGCCACACCAGACAGGTAGCTCTGTCTGACACATCGGGTAGTGCCACAACAGACAGGTAGATCTGTCTAACACATCGGGTAGTGCCACACCAGACAGGTAGCTCTGTCTGACACATCGGGTAGTGCCACAACAGACAGGTAGCTCTGTCTAACACATCGGGTAGTATCACAACAGACAGGTAGCTCTAACACATCGGGTAGTGCCACACCAGACAGGTAGCTCTGTCTAACACATCGGGTAGTGCCACACCAGACAGGTAGCTCTATCTAACACATCGGGTAGTGCCACAATAGACAGATAGCTCTGTCTAACACATCAGGGTAGTGCCACACCAGACAGGTAGCTCTGTCTAACACATCGGGTAGTGCCACACCAGACAGGTAGCTCTGTCTAACACATCGGGTAGTGCCACACCAGACAGATAGCTCTGTCTAACACATCAGGGTAGTGCCACACCAGACAGGTAGATCTGTCTAACACATCAGGTAGTATCACAACAGACAGGTAGCTCTGTCTAACACATCGGGTAGTACCACACCAGACAGGTAGCTCTGTCTAACACATCGGTAGTGCCACAACAGACAGGTAGCTCTGTCTAACACATCGGCTACTACCACAACAGACAGGTAGCTCTGTCTAACACATCGGGTAGTACCACAATAGACAGGTAGCTCTGTCTAACACATCAGGTAGTATCACAACAGACAGGTAGCTCTGTCTAACACATCGGGTAGTACCACACCAGACAGATAGCTCTGTCTAACACATCGGGTAGTATCACAACAGACAGGTAGCTCTGTCTAACACATCGGGTAGTGCGACACCAGACACATAGCTCTGTCTAACACATCGGGTAGTATCACAACAGACAGGTAGCTCTGTCTAACACATCGGGTAGTGCCACACCAGACAGATAGCTCTGTCTAACACATCGGGTAGTATCACAACAGACAGGTAGCTCTGTCTAACACATCGGGTAGTGCCACACCAGACAGGTAGCTCTGTCTAACACATCGGGGTAGTACCACAATAGACAGGTAGCTCTGTCTAACACATCGGGTAGTATCACAATAGACAGGTAGATCTGTCTCACACATCGGGGTAGTACCACAATAGACAGGTAGATCTGTCTAACACATCGGGTAGTACCACAATAGACATGTAGATCTGTCTAACACATCGGTGTAGTACCACGATAGACAGGTAGATCTGTCTAACATATCGTGTAGTAACACACCAGACAGGTAGCTCTGTCTAACACATCGGGTAGTACCACAATAGACAGATAGCTCTGTCTAAAACATCGGGTAGTATCACAATAGACAGGTAGATCTGTCTAACACATCGGGGTAGTACCACAATAGACAGGTAGATCTGTCTAACACATCGGGGTAGTACCACAATAGACAGGTAGATCTGTCTAAAACATCGGGTAGTACCACAATAGACAGATAGCTCTGTCTAACACATCAGGGAGGTACCACGATAGACAGGTAGATCTGTCTAACACATCGGGTAGTGCCACAATAGACAGGTAGATCTGTCTAACACATCGGGTAGTACCACGATAGACAGGTAGATCTGTCTAACACATCGGGTAGTGCCACAATAGACAGGTAGATCTGTCTAACACACCGGAGTAGTACCACAACAGACAGGTAGCTCTGTCTAACACAACGGGTAGTGCCACAATAGACAAGTAGCTCTGTCTAACACAACGGGTAGTGCCACAATAGACAGGTAGATCTGTCCAACACATCGGGTAGTGCCACACCTGACAGGTAGCTCTGTCCAACACATCGGGTAGTGCCACACCAGACAGGTAACTCTGTCTAATACATCGGGTAGTGCCACAATAGACAGGTAGCTCTGTCTAATACATCGGGTAGTGCCACACCAGACAGGTAGCTCTGTCTAATACATCGGGTAGTGCCACACCAGACAGGTAGATCTGTCTAATACATCGGGTAGTGCCACAATAGACAGGTAGCTCGAACACATCGGGGAGTATCCACAATAGACAGGTTGCTCTGTCCAACACATCGAGTAGTGCCACACCAGACAGGTAGCTCTGTCTAACACATCGGATCTGTGCTCTGACTACAGGGCGGTTTATCGTACACTATAGAGAACTGTATCACATTCCATGTTTATATCTTCGATCATGCCCTGGTACCAGGCTCACAGCACGCCACGGCGGAGACCAATGTGCAGAAGAACGTGTTTTACCAGAAGCAGTCGGTGTGCAACATGGGCCAGGTGCGCTATCTGGACGAGCTGGCGCAGACACACAACTTCTCAGTGACGGAGAACTTCGCGGCCGCTGTGTGTGCCCTGCCCGACACCTACAACGCCGCTGTATACATGAAATTTCTTGACACCTGGGGCACGGTAAGATGGCGCTTCCGTAACCGCGCTTTGTAACCATTGGTGAGTTAGTTTCACGCCGGTTTGTCGGCTTGATGGAGAGCAAAGGCCCATTGTGATGGAGGTCTGAGACGCCTGCTGAAACACACGGGTACGAGTATGGTGCTGACAAATCTAGACACCTAATCTGTGCGATCTGTGGCTACCCACGGATATAGATCTCCAGCACGCCCATGGCACGCAGCTCTGCAAAGCTAATTGTGTCTCGTTAGTCGACTAGGTCACCCGCACCCCATGAAGCCAAAACTTGGAGTGTCGTCAACAAACTGATTGTGATGAAGAAGACTATTCAAGACGATTCTTTGCGTATGAATACTTACCATGATCACTCCTACGAGTGAGAAAGTTGTGTTTAACACCACTAGAATGGAATTTCACTCATAACACTAGGTGTTATGACACTGTGGAAAACCTGAAGAATACTGAAACGAAATACGGGCTAGATAAACATTGTATAGCAAAGGCGTGTCTATTAAACGAATTTATGACTGGGCAAAACATCCTAACCAATCAATACCCCGCCAACAAACTGGCGTCCAATGAGATATCAATTGATGTGATACCCTGTCCCTCGATTGGCGATCAATGCGAGATCAATAAATATGATACCCCACCCTATGAATGGCAACCAATGAGAGAACATTTTGTGTGATACCCCGCCCTCCGAATGGGGACCAGTAAGGGATCAATAAATTGGATACCCTGCCCCCCTATTGGTGACCAATTACAGATCAATTGATGTAATACCATGCCCTCCGAGGTGCGACCAATCAGTGATTAAATAATATGATTCCCCGCCCTCCGAATGGCGACCAATGAGAGATAAATTAATGTGATACCCTGCCCTCCGTATGGCGACCAATGAGAGATCAATTAATGTGATACCCTGCCCTCCGAAGGGCGACCAACGAGAGATCAATTAATGTGATACCCCGCCCTCCGAAGAGCGACCAATGAGAGATCAATTAATGTGAAAATCCCGCCCTCCGAAGGGCGACCAATGAGAGATCAATTAATGTGATAACATGCCCTCCGTATGGCGCCCAATGAGAGATCAATTAATGTGATACTCCGCCCTCTGAATGGCGACCATTGATAGATCAATTAATGTGATACACCGCCCTCCGTATGGCGACCAATTAAAGATCAACTTATGTGTTACCCCTCCCTCTGACTTGGCGAGCACTGTTGCCCTCCCAAAGGCCATGATCAACTACAAAAGACTACAGTATCTGCATGTACAATACTATTCTTGCAGCATTAGGGGCGGTCGGGTAGCCGAGTGGTTAAAGCGTTCGTTCGTCACGACGAAGACTCGGGTTCGATTCCCAACATAGGTACAATGTGTGAAGCCCATTTTTCGAGTCCCTCGCCGTGATATTGCTGGAATATTGCTAATAGCGGCGTAAAACCATACTCACTCACTCACTCACTCACTCACTCTTGCAGCATGTGATAACCAAGACTGACATCGGGTACCGAACCATCACCCGGTACAAGAGTACCCTTTCAAACTTCGTTCAACACGTCATGAAGCAGGTAGGTCACAGCTACTTACTGGTGGTGTCGTAGTGGACGCAGAAGCCGTAGTCGAGCTGGTGGTCGTTTAAACACAGCGAAGATGTTGTTGTGTAGTGTGCGTTGTGTAGGTTAAGTGGATCGGTTGTGTAGATGTGGTGAGTACATAGCGTAGATGTAGTGTATAGATAGTGTAGATGTAGTGTATACATAGTGCAGACGTAGTGAGTACATAGTGTAGACGTAGTGTATACATAGGGTAGATGTAGTGTAGATGTAGTGTAGACGTAGTGTATACATAGGGTAGATGTAGTGTAGATGTAGTGTAGATGTAGTGTATACATAGGGTAGATGTAGTGTAGATGTAGTGTAGACGTAGTGTATACATAGGGTAGATGTAGTGTAGATGTAGTGTATACATAATGTAGATGTAGTGTATACATAGTGTAGATGTAGTGAGTACACAGTGTAGACGTAGTGTATACATAGGGTAGATGTAGTGTAGATGTAGTGTATACATAGTGTATACATAGTGTAGATGAAGTGTATACATAGTGTAGATGTAGTGTATACATAGTGTAGATGTAGTGTATACATAGTGTAGATGTAGTGTATACATAGTGGAGATGTAGTGTATACATAGTGTATACATAGTGTAGATGAAGTGTATACATAGTGTAGATGTAGTGTATACATAGTGTAGATGTAGTGTATACATAGTGTAGATGTAGTGTAGATGTAGTGTATACATAGTGTAGATGTAGTGTATACATAGTGTAGATGTAGTGTATACATAGTGTAGATGTAGTGTATACATAGTGTAGATGTAGTGTATACATAGTGGAGATGTAGTGAGTACATAGTGTATACATAGTGTAGATGTAGTGTATACATAGTGTATACATAGTGTAGATGAAGTGTATACATAGTGGAGATGTAGTGTATACATAGTGTATACATAGTGTAGATGAAGTGTATACATAGTGTAGATGTAGTGTATACATAGTGTAGATGTAGTGTATACATAGTGTAGATGTAGTGTAGATGTAGTGAGTACATAGTGTATACATAGTGTAGACGCAGTGTATACATAGTGTAGATGTAGTGTATACATAGTGGAGATGTAGTGTATACATAGTGTATACATAGTGTAGATGTAGTGTATACATAGTGTATACATAGTGTAGAGGTACTGTATACATAGTGTAGACATAGTGTAGAGGTAGTGTATACATAGTGTAGATGAAGTGTATACATAGTGTAGACATAGTGTAGAGGTAGTGTATACATAGTGTAGATGAAGTGTATACATAGTGTAGACATAGTGTAGAGGTAGTGTATACATAGTGTAGAGGTAGTGTATACATAGTGTAGACATAGTGTAGAGGTAGTGTATACATAGTGTAGATGTAGTGTATACATAGTGTAGATGTAGTGTATACATAGTGTAGATGTAGTGTATACATAGTGTAGATGTAGTGAGTACATAGTGTAGAGGTAGTGTATACATAGTGGAGATGTAGTGTATACATAGTGTATACATAGTGTAGAGGTAGTGTATACATAGTGTATACATAGTGTAGAGGTAGTGTAGACATAGTGTAGATGTAGTGTATACATAGTGTAGATGTAGTGTATACATAGTGTAGATGTAGTGAGTACATAGTGTAGAGGTAGTGTATACATAGTGTATACATAGTGGAGATGTAGTGTATACATAGTGTATACATAGTGTAGAGGTAGTGTATACATAGTGTATACATAGTGTAGAGGTAGTGTAGACATAGTGTAGATGTAGTGTATACATAGTGTATACATAGTGTAGATGTAGTGTATACATAGTGTATACATAGTGTAGAGGTAGTGTATACATAGTGTAGACATAGTGTAGAGGTAGTGTATACATAGTGTAGATGAAGTGTATACATAGTGTAGATGTAGTGTATACATAGTGTAGATGTAGTGTATACATAGTGGAGATGTAGTGTATACATAGTGTAGATGTAGTGTATACATAGTGTAGATGTAGTGTATACATAGTGGAGACGTAGTGTATACATAGTGTATACATAGTGTAGAGGTAGTGTATACATAGTGTAGACATAGTGTAGAGGTAGTGTATACATAGTGTAGATGAAGTGTATACATAGTGTAGATGTAGTGTATACATAGTGTAGATGTAGTGTATACATAGTGTAGATGTAGTGGATACATAGTGTAGACGTAGTGTATACATAGTGTAGACATAGTGTAGATGTAGTGTATACATAGTGTAGATGTAGTGAGTACATAGTGTAGATGTAGTGTATACATAGTGTAGATGTAGTGAGTACATAGTGTAGATGTAGTGTATACATAGTGTAGACATAGTGTAGAGGTAGTGTATACATAGTGTAGATGTAGTGTAGACATAGTGTAGATGTAGTGTATACATAGTGTAGATGTAGTGTATACATAGTGTAGATGTAGTGAGTACATAGTGTAGATGTAGTGTATACATAGTGTAGACATAGTGTAGAGGTAGTGTATACATAGTGTAGATGTAGTGTATACATAGTGTAGATGTAGTGTAGACATAGTGTAGATGTAGTGTATACATAGTGGAGACGTAGTGTATACATAGTGTAGATGTAGTGTATACATAGTGGAGACGTAGTGTATACATAGTGTATACATAGTGTAGAGGTAGTGTATACATAGTGTAGACATAGTGTAGAGGTAGTGTATACATAGTGTAGATGAAGTGTATACATAGTGTAGATGTAGTGTATACATAGTGTAGATGTAGTGTATACATAGTGTAGATGTAGTGTATACATAGTGTAGATGTAGTGAGTACATAGTGTAGAGGTAGTGTATACATAGTGTATACATAGTGTAGAGGTAGTGTATACATAGTGTAGACATAGTGTAGAGGTAGTGTATACATAGTGTAGATGAAGTGTATACATAGTGTAGATGTAGTGTATACATAGTGTAGATGTAGTGTATACATAGTGGAGACGTAGTGTATACATAGTGTATACATAGTGTAGATGTAGTGTATACATAGTGTATACATAGTGTAGAGGTAGTGTAGACATAGTGTAGATGTAGTGTATACATAGTGTATACATAGTGTAGATGTAGTGTATACATAGTGTATACATAGTGTAGAGGTAGTGTATACATAGTGTAGACATAGTGTAGAGGTAGTGTATACATAGTGTAGATGAAGTGTATACATAGTGTAGATGTAGTGTATACATAGTGTAGATGTAGTGTATACATAGTGTAGATGTAGTGTATACATAGTGTAGATGTAGTGAGTACATAGTGTAGAGGTAGTGTATACATAGTGTATACATAGTGTAGAGGTAGTGTATACATAGTGTAGACATAGTGTAGAGGTAGTGTATACATAGTGTAGATGAAGTGTATACATAGTGTAGATGTAGTGTATACATAGTGTAGACATAGTGTAGAGGTAGTGTATACATAGTGTAGATGTAGTGTATACATAGTGTAGATGAAGTGTATACATAGTGTAGAAGTGGTGTATACATAGTGTATACATAGTGTAGATGTAGTGTATACATAGTGTATACATAGTGTAGATGTAGTGTATACATAGTGTATACATAGTGTAGATGTAGTGTATACATAGTGTAGATGTAGTGTATACATAGTGTATACATAGTGTAGATGTAGTGAATACATAGTGTAGTTGTAGTGTATACATAGTGTAGATGTAGTGTATACATAGTGTATACATAGTGTAGATGTAGTGTATACATAGTGTAGATGTAGTGTATACATAGTGTAGATGTAGTGAATACATAGTGCATACATAGTGTAGATGTAGTGTATACATAGTGTATACATAGTGTAGAGGTAGTGTATACATAGTGTAGACATAGTGTAGAGGTAGTGTATACATAGTGTAGACATAGTGGAGATGTAGTGTATACATAGTGTATACATAGTGTATACATAGTGTATACATAGTGTATACATAGTGTAGACATAGTGTAGATGTAGTGTATACATAGTGTATACATAGTGTAGAGGTAGTGTAGACATAGTGTAGATGTAGTGTATACATAGTGTATATATAGTGTAGATGTAGTGTATACATAGTGTATACATAGTGTAGAGGTAGTGTATACATAGTGTAGACATAGTGTAGAGGTAGTGTATACATAGTGTAGATGAAGTGTATACATAGTGTAGATGTAGTGTATACATAGTGTAGATGTAGTGTATACATAGTGTAGATGTAGTGTATACATAGTGTAGATGTAGTGAGTACATAGTGTAGAGGTAGTGTATACATAGTGTATACATAGTGTAGAGGTAGTGTATACATAGTGTAGACATAGTGTAGAGGTAGTGTATACATAGTGTAGATGAAGTGTATACATAGTGTAGATGTAGTGTATACATAGTGTAGACATAGTGTAGAGGTAGTGTATACATAGTGTAGATGTAGTGTATACATAGTGTAGATGTAGTGTATACATAGTGTAGAAGTGGTGTATACATAGTGTATACATAGTGTAGATGTAGTGTATACATAGTGTATACATAGTGTAGATGTAGTGTATACATAGTGTATACATAGTGTAGATGTAGTGTATACATAGTGTAGATGTAGTGTATACATAGTGTATACATAGTGTAGATGTAGTGAATACATAGTGTAGTTGTAGTGTATACATAGTGTAGATGTAGTGTATACATAGTGTATACATAGTGTAGATGTAGTGTATACATAGTGTAGATGTAGTGTATACATAGTGTAGATGTAGTGAATACATAGTGCATACATAGTGTAGATGTAGTGTATACATAGTGTATACATAGTGTAGAGGTAGTGTATACATAGTGTAGACATAGTGTAGAGGTAGTGTATACATAGTGTAGACATAGTGGAGATGTAGTGTATACATAGTGTATACATAGTGTATACATAGTGTATACATAGTGTATACATAGTGTAGACATAGTGTAGATGTAGTGTATACATAGTGTAGACATAG